ATTATAGAGATTGGGAATGATGCAGGAAATCTGAAATGTGGCAAATGATGATTTCCTATTTTTAAAAAGAAAACAGGGATAGATTTTTCAACATACATTTGTTGTAATTCCATTCTGTGCCAGACACTGGGCTAGATGCTGGAGCAACATCAGTGAAAAGAGAGATGCCTTCACTGCTTACATGGTATCTATAATCTGAGTATTTCCTAATTTACAGACAGTCAGGATTTATGTGGTTCTGACTCAAAAATTTTCTAACTAATTGTTTAAGTGTTATGGCTTGTGACAAAATGGAGCAAGTCATAGCAGGCTAGCTTTGTTTAAAGCTAACTTCATTTATTTCTTTTAAGGGATCCTGCCCCCCTTTTATGGGGGAATATTGCACAACTCAGTTCTCTACTTTGATCTGCTAGCATGTTGTTTTGTTTGCTTTTTTAAAAATTTTTTTTAATGGTTTGGGCAAAGATATAGATGATATGTTTATTTTTATTTGTCCATTTGAAACTTTAAAAAATGTTCATATACAAATACCAGTATACCAAATTAACCAAAATTACATCAAAACTCTTTTTTTCTCCCAAACCACCTTGCTTGTCATAAATTTACCAATACTCTGACATCATGAATATCTGTATTTATATATATATTTGCAAATTTTATATTATATAGATATAATCACTCTCTAAAATTCATGATTATCAGTTGCAGTGGTTTAACTGAATTGTCCCAACTAGTTGGAAATTATGTTGATAGTTATATGCCATCAACAAATGATAGACCTCATTTTCAAATGATTTTCTTTTTCGAAAAGAGTAAAGTGAGTAGATACAACATGTATCTCAGCACGGAGTATATTAATAACTGTTACTTTAGAATGCATTATATTTCATTGCCACTTTTCATTTGCTTGGCTTTTGATGGCAGCAATTTATTAAGAAATATTTCTAAAGGGGAAAATTGGCCCTTTTAGTTGCCAAGATCAATAAAAAGAAAAGGTCCATCAGAGGAGAACATTTTGGCAAATGTATACAATGTTAGTGCATAGAGGAAAACTTCAGTCCCAAACAGAATTTGAACTCAGGTCATCTAAATTCTACAGTCTACACTCTGAACTATATGTAATGTACAGCTGATCTGTTGTCCAGCTCCAATCATCCCAAACTTAAGCAGACAAGAAAATCACTAGCAAGACTAGTTAAAACACAAATGCAGCCACAGCTAGAGATTCTGCAGGTCAGGTAATTTGCATTTCTAAAAAGCTATCAGGTGGAGCTGATACTGCTGGTCTTGGTCTGTGGTTTAAGGGGTTAAAACTGGCTTGCTGAATATCTTTAAAGCAGGAGAAATTTTATAAGTCTAGCACAGTAAATTGAAATTCCACTTTAGGACAGCAATATGGAATAACCCCCTCTCAGCCCTATGATTACATGAAACCCTTTTCTAAATCAATGTGGTTTATAGCTCAAAGGCAACCAAAACATGGTTTGCATAACTTAAAAAGCCTGTTTAAATGCAAGAACAAACAAACAAAAAAAAAAGGCATACACAGTAGGAAGCATTTTCTTATGACCTTTCTACAGTGAAAGTGAGAATGACAAGAAAGTCAGCGTCCGAACTTCTAAAGTCTGTTGGGATCAAGGGCTAAACTCTGTCCACCATCTGCTCACAGGTACAAACTCAAGAAATAATATTTCAGTCAAGACTGACTTCGGCTTAGGAAACAAGATGGGCGTTTTATATTAGAAGCTTCTCACACACAATTTGGTTTCTAAAAGAGGAAATCTAACTTGGGGGAAACATGCAAATCTCAGTTCCAGAGATAGAGTGGGGGAGGCTGCTCCGAACAAAGCCTGAACATTACATTAGTCAGGTTCTCCAGGCCCAGCCTATCTGCAGAAAGACAGCTGCTTGAATTTAAGCACCAATTAAAGATTTCGCAGGCAGGCTTTAGTCACTTTCTTTTACAAGAACGTTTGACTTGTGTACTTAGAGAGTAAATCAGCGGAATATTCTAGTTAAAGGGAAAGAAAGCATATGCTGTGAGTCTTTTATCATAAGAAGTAAATATTGGGGAAAATAATTTTCAAATACAATGCCAATATAATTTGGCTATGAGACCCCTTTAACAAGTGTCTGCTGGGTATGTCCTAAAATGATTAATTTGTCAGCCTTCCTGCAGTAAACGCTATTTGAGAACTTGCAGTTTCAGGTTGTAAAGATGTGATTTTTCTGGTATGCTTTATCTTTGTTTAACTGTCATATCTTGGTACATAGCAATGTCTCAGAAGTTTAAATTTTTTTTTAAATGTTTTATTTATTTCCAGGAGAGAGAGACAGCGTGAGCAGGGCAGGGTCAGAGAGAGAGGGAGTCACAGACTGAAACAGGCTCCAGGCTCTGAGCTGGCAGTCAGCACAGAGCCCGACGCGGGGCCCGAACCCACGAACCGCGAGATCATGACCTAAGCGAAAGTTGGACGCCCAACCGACTAAGCCACCCAGGAGCCCCCAGAAGTTTAAAAGTTTGTTCATAAATATTGCTACTTCTGTTGGTTAAGAACTTCTTTTGAACCCGTTTCTCATATTTGCAGGAACAGTGAAAAACAGTATTTCTTGATGTTTCTGCTCATTAAAAACAAACAGAAAAGAGGGGGATGTGGAGACAGAGGGTATAAGCATTAATTCATGCCAGTTCACACAGTATTTCCAGTGCGTGTTATTAAAAATGTTTTTGTTAGCAATTAAACCTGAGGAACTGGCTCTTGCTTTGGGAAACAAGATGTAGGCATCTACAACAATGCTCATAAGTTATATTATTATTGACCAAAATAAATGCATACTTTACAAGGAGCCTATAAAAAAGTGAATACTGATGATAAAAGGAACACAATGGAGCTACAAACCTAGAGACTCTCAGTTAAGAGAGAGGAATCCACTTGATTCCTTAGACAACTCAGAACGTACCCAGATGATTCCTTTCATTACTGGTGACAAGCCCAGGAGATGCTGTAATTCTACTACGTTAAATCTGTTTTAATTTGTCCCCTGTTCCTGAGCATGTAAGCACTATCAGGAGAACAGAAAATGCCTATTTAGAAATTATTTGTGCTGACTACCATGTCTTAATTGGTTTTAAGCTTTTCTGTTAAAATGTTTATTTTAAAATAAATACAATGATACAAGTTGACATCTGGGAGTCCTGTAAATATTTGTTTTGAGGAACCTGCAATATTCAGGACAGATTCTTTGGGGAGTCCATAGAAGAGCTTTATATCCAAGGGGGAAAAGGTTTGAAGATAGATTATGAGGGACTCCTTTTATTTTAAATCATGGTAAAAAAAAAAAAAAAAGCCACCCTCATATATCCAGTAAGGTTCAAAAATAATTTAAATGCATATTTCTTGAATAAGTGCTAGAGAAGAAAATCATAAGAATTATCCAAGGGGATCTTGGCTGGCAAGGAAGGAAGTCTTTTCTGAGGAACTGACTTTTAACCTATGTTTTTCTCAATTAATATAAATCAGCTAAGTAGGGACAGCAGGTGGAAAGGATAAGGGAAAACTTGATCCAGCCATAGGGAACATTGGATGTGAAGACTGTGAAGAAAGAGGCAGTAGAAAGAGCTTGAAAAACGTAATAAAAGTCACAGAGACCAAGCTAGAGAAAGCAAGAGCAAAGCAAAGTCTGACATGAGGCTTGGAGGGGCCAGATCAGGAGGGCTTTGTCGGTGGCCTTAAGGAGCTCAGACCGTACTCAAAGAGTGGTAAGGGATCGGTAAGGGTTTAAGCAAGGAGATGTTATCTAAGAAAACCTCTCTCCATGCTGTGTGGAGAATTGATTGTTGAGGAAGAGCGGAAGCAGAGAGACCATGAAGTAGAATTTTCCTTGGTCCAGTAAGATGATGACACTGTGCACCAATGCAGTAGAAGTGGATGGATAAAATGCTTTTTTATGGCGGAAAGTAGATGAAATTGAAGAATAAGGAAGAAGACAGTATCAAAGATGAGTCCCACATTTCTGGCTTAAGAAATGGTAAGATAGAGAAGCAATGACCTGGACTAAGAATGGTGAGAGAGGGAAAGGAAAACAAATTCAATAGTGTGGAAGTTTTCTGCTGTTGTTCCAATCAATGGAGATCAGCCCTGGAATCAATATAAAGGGAGAAGGGTGAATCTCCTATCAATTCAGTCAGTCTTGGTTCCTAATTGCCTCCCCAAAATGGGCACTTCTTCCAGAGAAGTGGGTGTGGTTCTTGTGTTAAGGTTCATGCTCCACTTCCCAAATTCAACTGCTTCATCAGGCACACATGTGGAGGAACTAAGGCATCTTACATCAGGCCACACTAAGACATCATAAATTGCCAATGGGACACCTTCCAAAAGGACACTGTGCTTCTATTGTGTTGATCCCATTTCTGCTACAGATTTTCATTCTGTTCCCTGTTGTTCTCTGCAGCTCCCAATAATAGCATCACACACACCCCACTCAGTGAGTGTGACTTGCCGTGTCTTTCCCAGTGGAAGCAGTATACTTCCCACTGTCATTATCTTCAACCTTGGCCATGTGACTTATTTTGGCCAATGGGACACAAGCAGGGGTGAAACTTTTAATCACTGAATTTAAAGAGTCATCAAATGGTTTCCCCTTGGCTCCTTTATCTTCTACCATGAAAATAATATGTACCAGAAGTGAGATATTCCTACAATCTGGATCCCAGAATGAAGAAGACCCATAGAATCAACCTGCAGGTAAATCAAACCAACATCTAACATGAAAAAGAAACAAATCTTTTTGTTTAAACTGCTGAAATTTGGGGGCCACTTATTACTACATGACAACATAATCTAAATTGACATAAAAATCCAAGACTACTTTTGCCTAAAATTTAATATGTGAGAATATCACTTTAAATTTAAATTTAAATTTAGAACCTATCCCACATTAAGATTAATTCCAGGTACTTTTAGGGAGTTTATTACCTCTCTTAACTACAGATGGGCTCAAGCTTTGTGCAGTGGCAGTATAGTAGCCAATGAGGTTTATCTGAGGCGTGATTATTGCTAACTGAAAACTTTTCCCAAAACTACAGATGAGGTTAGATCTCATACCTGAGGCCATTAATACAAGACCTACAAGGAGGACAGTTTCTACTCCAAAATAATAAATATTGTTTTTGGTCCCTCCATAAAAAGCTAAAGATCTTCAGAGGGGCTAGCCCTGGACCCCCATCTGGCTCTAGTAACTTGTATTGACTTCCCCTATTCTGGTCCTCTGCCCGTAGGATTAATAGTATTAAAAGTTTCTTTGCAAGAGCTTTTCTGAAGGAAAAGGAAGAGCAATCATCACTCACACACACACACACACACACACACACACACATTTCTTGTCCATTTGTTCTCCCTGATCCTGGTTCAAGATGAACATCTCGTTTTTACTTTCACAGACAAATGTCTGGCTGCCTGCCACATGTCTTAGACTGGAACTCTGATTTTGCTTTTTTCCAGAGGTAATGCATATTTCCTTTATAAAGCCTGTACTAATTTGCCATATATACCTTCATAAACTCGAGGTTCTTGTATAAACTACTGGGTTTTGTTGAATTTTAGTCTTAGCATCAACTAACTCCAAGCCTTGTCAATAACTCAATCTCTGACTCTGTCTCTGTCTCTGTCACACACACACACACACACATACACACACTCACGTCCACAGGTCATTGCTCACTATTTCTGAACATTCTATTCTATACTCGCTATCTGGCAATGACAAAAAGTAGATGAGGCACTGGCACAGCATACCAGAGAGGTCGGGTCTACATTAACTCTGTGTGAATAGCCCGAGATGAGAAGGAGCAGACAGACAAGAGTTCATGGACTTCTTTCCCTGATGACACATAACTTAGTATACCAAGATGGCCAGCGAAATGACAGTAAGTTCCGTTGATGGGGCTTGAGCACTATTTGTCTCTTCAACCCTTGATTTTTTTCTCATGTCCAAATCACATAAAGAAACGGTCATGTAAGTTTACCCAAGGAAAGAGGAATGTAGCCCTAGTAGTACTAATAATTTGAAATTAAACAATAAGCTCTAAGAAATAAGCTGATAGAAAGTAGTCATTTTGACTTGAGCTGTGACAAACAGAATTCTGCTCACTGCTTTTCTGGACATTAAATGGAAAGAAAGTGATTCTTTCCCTTAGCATTCTTCTCAGTCTTTGTATGCCAATCTTGCTTATGAGCTGTTTTTTCCTTAAAGTTTAAATACCCTTTTCCTCCCACCCACAAGATAGAATGCCAAGTGCTATTCTCTAATCAGCTATTGATTTCATGCCATCTGTTACCTATGAAGCATGATTTCAAGAAAAGCCATGGTGTGGCATCTCTTAGCTTAAATTGTTCTAGTCAACCTCTTCTTGCAAAGTGCTAGACACAAACCTGTTTATTCCCTGTCTGCCACCCTGATTTGTGATTTTTTTTATTATTTGTCACTTATATATAAATGAATTTACAAAATATAATGGAAATTTGCATTTAGGTTGATAGGTTGGACGGAGGCCTTTAAACCATTATCTTCCTCAGTCAGGAGGTTCTCATGGGCATCCCAGTCACCCAAAAGAACTTTCTAATAAACATTAATTCCTATAAGTTTTAAACAGTTATTTCTGGCACTGCTAATTCTTATACTTCTTCTTTGGGGTAAGAAAAAAAAACCATCAATGAAGAAAATCTATACCAGTCTTCAATGTGAATGTCACCATTTATTAAAAATAGTGTGGTGCCAAAGGATATTCTTTAACTGCTGGTTAAATGGAAGTTAGGTTATCATAGGAATCATAATTTCACTTATTTTAAACATGTAGCAATGAATGAGCCAACTATATTATTTCACATGATGCAATTTCTACTTTCCTAAATCTTTGGCCTTTCTCTTCTTTGTTTACCTAAATGTCTATTTATTTTATACACTTATTCTCTAATTATATTTCCTTTGTTTTGAGGAAACAGATATATATTAAGCTACAAGAGAAGGAGAAAGTGGGGTTATTATGATAATCATAAACACTGTAATTTATTGGACACTCAGAAATAGAAATGCAAGGACAATTATATCTAACTGGGACCATGACAAGAATGCCATGGATTCAGAGGACTAGGACCTCTTTCTCTCAGGTCATAGTGTCTATAGCACATATATATTGAGTAACCTCTAAGCTCCAGGCACCATCTAAGCAGCAGAAAAAGGAGACATTAGCCAAGTATTTAAAATACTTTAAAAATAGTAAAAGTTTATCGAGTAAAATATTAGATGCAGAGCTCAGTTGATTTTGAGAGTATGGTAAAGCCTTCTGAGAAATGAAGTTGAGGTTGCAATCTTAAAAACAAACAGAAGGTAATCAGCCAAGTGGTGCTATGAACTATCAACTAGTAGAATTGCGAGTTGTCCAAACCCATTCTTTTGATATGTCTACTTCATTCTTCTGCCTATGCAGTTTCTTTTGGCTATTTATAAATTTGCATAGACCCAAAATACACATGACTTCAAATCTGGAAATTACAAAACCATTAGGCTGTTACAAGGAAGGCTAGGGTCTCTGTTGTTAGAATGGACAATCTAATTGACTTAGCCTGATCTATGGAGGGTGTGGCTAATACTAAGTGCTATCACTAGGCCGATTATCATTTGGAGGGGGATTAGGGCAGGGAGGGTCTTGAAGTAAATGGCTGTGGTTATAGTCAAGGATATGTACTAAAGAAAAGTAGATTGCAGCAGGTGAACTGATTGACATATCTAGAATACATATCTTTTGGTGCACACACACATATGCAGTGCCTCATGGGCAGTACTCTATGTTGTTTCTCACTGGTGGTAAGCAGTTGTGCACACCCTAATCCCCGCTCTCTCTGTGATTAGGAGGCAGCATGTGTCAGCAACTGAGGAATAACCAAAGGCACCAACAGATTGTGGCTACTGAAATGAATCCAACGTCCTTGGGAAAGGTATTCATGACCTTGGCTGGACTAGCTATGGTCTCTACCCCTGCAGAAAGTACTCTTACTGGTTTGAAAGCCATTCTGTTGAATTGCACATGATATGGGTATTCACAATAAAATTAATTTTATTAGTAAAGCTAATACTATCAATATTAATCTAGTGGCAAATTGTTAGGTTCTAGAGCCAGACAGACTCCAGTTGGAACCCAAATACTATAAAAGTCTCCTAACGTGGTTAAGCTATAAGATTCTTCTTCCATAAACTTGAGATAACAATGCCTGCATAGCAATTAAGAATTCCATGGGACAGCATAGAAGAGACTGTCCAAAACAACAGTGGCTTAAACACCGATGGTTTAATCTCTCTCATAAAAGAAGTACAGATATAAGCAGTTTATAACGGGGACAAGGGCTCCAGAAAATTATCCAGAACCCAGCATTCTTCAATCTGTCTGTTCCCTCATGCGCAGCACTGGTTTCTATCCTCAAGCTACCATGGCCCATATTGACTATTGACTCATTAGGGGTCATCTCTGCATTCCAAAGAGGTAAAAAAAAAAAAAAGATAAAGTGGAGGTAGAGGGTGGGTTCACAAAGAAGGATCTCCCAATGGCCTAAAGTTTCACACAACAGATCTATGCACATCCTATAGGCCAGCACTCAGTCATCTAGCTGCTTGAAGCTGCAAGGTGGGCTTGGGAATTGAGCCCTTTAGCTAGTGCTTTGTCACTTAGGTAACATTTGAATACAAAGGAGAAAAGGAAAAGCAGATTTGTAGGCAACCAGCCCTCTCTACCACAATTTTCCCCACAGGATTGTAGTGCTGATTAAATGAGTTAATATATGTTAAATTCTGAGCACAGTGCTTGTACATAGTCAGCACTCAGAAGCTGCCATTAGTGCTTGCTTGTACACAGTCAGCACTCAGAAGCTGCCATTATTACTCCTAGTCAATTGCCAGCGATATAAAATTATGTTATTTAAAACTCATTAAAAATGGAATTATCTATAGTTCTGGAATATGTAAATTCCTTAATTCTATTTGTACTGATTAAATTTTAAAGGAAACGATTTTTAAAAGTTACAGACAAGATATGTAGGAAAAACAGTTTAAGCCAGTAGTTAAAAATTATGCTTAAAAAATTATGCTTTGGAGAGTTCATAAATCAACAAAAATTTATTAAGTAAAAGATCCAAAAGCTAGCAAACTGCATAAAACTACATAGAAAAGGAAATAGTTTCCTTGATTTTGAGAATAATTCTCTTAAAAGACATGATAATAGAATGTGGGTTTTTTCCTCAATACTTCACACAGATTTTCACACAGTTCAGCACAAGTGCTTCTGTGGGAGGAGAAAGAAGGGGAAGCAGCATGTTCCTGTTCTTCCTTAGAAGTCTTCAGTCTCTGCTCACTGACTCTCCTTTTTCTATTTTCTCCATCCTTCTCCATTCTTTTTCTCAAAGTCTCCATATCCTTCCCCCCTCCCTTTGCATTTTCCTCTGGAACTGCTCTGTCGAGCTGCTTTGCAGTGTTTTTGAGGTTTGATGCAAATCATCATCAATGTTTTTCATTCTTTTTTAGAGTATACATCATCCCGAATCACTGTTTCCAGGCAAGAGATGATGCCAAGTTCTCTTAATGCTAATTCTCTCATTTAATGCTCTCTCAGAAGTAAAATAGAAATAAACAGCCAGAAACATAGCAGAATGGGTCTCAGCATAACACAGACCTAGGCATGTGCTCCCTATGGGAACTGAAGTATTCTCAGACTCAGTTTTCCTTTCCCTGAAACTGATATAATAACAGCATATATCACGTAAGGACTTTTGTTATGGATTAAATATGAGAGTGCATGTAACTTCATAGCACAGTAGGAAACATGCAGCAAATAAATGTTAGCCTTGATAATAATGATGATAATAATGAAACTAGATACAGACATTCTGTAGCCAAGCCTCTGGTATCTACAAAATATTGTTGTTAAATAATACTAACCCTGCTATTAGATAGATCAGGGAGCACTTTCCACATGGAGCCAAACAAATAAACAAAAGCTCAAAAACAAATATGCTATGTTTGATTCATCTTTTGGATAAATTTCATTTCCTGGTAGGATACCACAAATTGTCCAAAGTCTGTCCTTGTG